GTTTCTTTTGTTGCCCTCTTCTCTTGGGACAGTTGTACTTCCAATGCCCCACTTCCTTACAGTTGTGACAAGCATCACTTGGCTGTGGACCGGGACCCTTGGAATTCTTGCTCGAATTCCCTTTACCAGATTTCTTCTTTCCCTTTCCACCTGTAACAGCCAAACCCGATGCCTCACCACCTGTACCAGATCCGGACGCCTTATGTCTGATCTCTCTCGTATGAAGAGCAGACCTGACATCCTCCAACGACACGCTTTCTTTACCAGCAATAAAAGAATCAACGAAATTCTCATATGAACTCGGCAAAGAAACCAGCAGGATTAGGGCAGCATCCTCGTCATCAACTTGAACATCTATATTACGCAGGTCCAGCAAAATAGAGTTAAGCTGTTCGAGATGTTCCCTCAAAGGCGTACCTTCTTGCATCCTCAAGCTGAACAACCGTTGCTTGAGATGCAGCTTGTTGGTTAGAGACTTAGTCATGTACAGACTCTCTAGTTTCAACCACAAGCCCGCGGCAGTCTTCTCAGCAGCGACTTCAATGATGACGTCATCAGACAACGATAGCATGATGGTCGAGTGGGCCTTCTCCTCCAGGGTATTCCACTCATCGTCATCGACTGCTGCCTTCTTCTGTTTCGCAGACAGCGGCCACCACAGCCCTTGCTGTTTTAATAAAGCCTGCATCTTGATCTGCCATATAGCGAAGCTGTTCTTCCCCGTGAACTTTTCGATCTTCATGTTCACCGACGTCATTCTTCTGAATCGAAAACCCTAGCCTGATTTCCAACCGCGGCTCTGATACCACTTGTTATAAAACGCGCTGCTACGGATCGGGAAATCGCCGGAATCGACAAAGCAAGAATACGAAAGCGAGAATCGAAAACACGACACACGATTTATGTGTTTCACTAACACGATGTGTGTTAGCTACGTCCACGGGCGAGAGAGAGCCAGTTTCACTATATCGAGGAGATTACAGATTACAGAGGAGTATGAGAAGTATTTATAGTACTTCTCCATGTGGGTCTAAACCTAATCCAATCTGCCAAAGGAAACGGTTACAGACCAGGCCCAGAGACCCCCGATTACCAATCGTAGCGGCTGATAGTCTGATTCAAGTCATATCAACATGTAATCAGTGAACTTGACCTGAAAATTTAACTTCATGCTCTCGGTTTGTATAGGATGAGGAGGTGAATGTTTTCTCATTTTGTTACTATCTTTGAGTAGTTTCTCAATAAAACATTCCAAAAAATCTAGCTTTCTCGCAATAGATAACAATAAAGTTAGAGTATACAAATATTGTATACAACTCTCATAAATCTATAAAATAACAACATTTGAGATACATTATTTGGTCAAAAACTTTACGTTTTAGTGGGTACGTTGTTTTCTCTCTAACGATGGAACTTGAAGTTAAAAACAATAGAAGAGTAGAGTAGACTATTACCTAAATACTATTGTTTTTATGTTGTTGTACAATTCTTATTAAATTACTCATCATAGTCTTTGGCAGGTGACACATTTGGTCACTGAGATTACTAAATAATGTCATGTTTAGTCACTAGAAAAATAATAATATCAATTTTGGTCACCCGAATTACTGAAACATGTCACATTTAGTCACTCTCTGTTAATCTCGAATTACTTTTTTTTTATGAATGTCACTCGAATTACTGAAACATGTCACATTTAGTCACTCTCTGTTAATGGACGGAGGCTAACGAGAGAGTGACTAAATGTGACATGTTTTAGTAATTCGAATGACAAAATGACTAAACATAACACGATTACTTAGTAATCACAGTGACCAAATGTGGTATTTAATCCAATGAGATATAGTCCGCTAAATTTGCGAGAAATTGAAAATCCCTTAACTATCGCTCTTGAGGTTTGTGCCGGCTATAACTAAAGGAGGTTATGCACCAAAATTCCGTCCATTTTACTTGACTGTTTGAATATTCGTAGTGAGACAATGTATTGTTAATAAGGTGATTCTCCAAGGTGAATATATTTTTTAGGTGTAGAATCAATAACATAGTACTCAATAGCATAGTATGAATGATAATACCGTATTTGCACATGTTTGCATCCTCGTTTCTTGATCATTTTGGCTTGAGTTTTTGCTTTCTTGGAGTATTTTACGCTAGGTTGTGTTCCTTTGTCACATTTCAGGTCCTAGCATGTAAATTGAAGCATATGCGCAAGTTTCAAGTCAATCGGAGATCATTTGGCAATTCGGGAGAAGAAACACGAGCATGACCTGAGGAAGAATGGACTTCTAACTCATATTATGGACAAATAATCATGGAATCTTGTTATGAAAAGAAAGAGGACGAGACTACGAGCGTTTGGGATTAAACGGTGACTGATTCGGAGTCCGGTTGAGGGAGAAACGAAGAATTAAACAGGAGCGGAGGAAGAAATACGGGCAGGAGAAATACGACCGTATTTTCCCTCCCATGCCCGTATTTTCACTGCCGAGAGGAGCCTTGGATGCGCTGAAACTTAACCAAAACGCGCGTTTTGGGCAAAATACGGGCAGGGAAGAATTATGACCGTAATTTAGCCCGTATTTCGCCCAGAATCGGGTTTTTGAGGCAGATTAGAGCCAAAGGTGAGGGAATCGAGTTTCGGAGCAAAAAACAGAGCTTTAGAGAGAGAAAGTGCTAAGAACAAACCCTAGGAGCTATTTGGAGTGGATTTCTTGCCATTGAAGCCCAGATTGCATCCCCAGGAGTGAAGATCGACATCTCAGAGCAGATTATCCCCATCTTTATGAGTATGACTGCTTTGATTTATGTTTTCCTCTCTCTCTATAGATAGAACCTTCTCTCACTTGGGTATGAAGAACCCTAGTTCCATGTGTTAGGAATCTTGATTGTAATGACTTTGGATTGATATACTGATTGATTTTAATCGATTGATGCATGATTCATTGAGTCAATTGAAACCTGATCATCTTTTCTTGATTTCTGCTGCAACCTGAGATAGATAGAATCTGATTAGGTTGTTAGAGCTTCATCAATCGGTAGTGGTAGATTGGTTATACGAGAGTTAATCGATTTACTGCTTTGTACTGGAACCCAATTCCGGTAGTAGAGTTCTGTTCTTATTGCCTCAGCAGTTTATCCCGGTGAAGGTTAGTCGCCTGCCGGTTAGCCTGCCCGAGAGGGCTTGGTCAGCTTAAGAGATTCCAACCTACTGTCGGATCTTCCGCAGTTTAATCAACAGTTAATCAACCCAGGGTAATTACAAACTTGACCTAACTAAGGAGCTAGGGGGACTCATTCTCGAGTGGCTCTTCCCTTGCTAAAGAACTTTGAACCATTTCCTGCTTTCTTACTGCTTTTAGTTAAAATCACGATCACTCGACTTAGTTTGCTAGATAATCACGGAGTAGGCAGTAGATCTAGACCCCAGGTTGATAAATAGAACTTGCCACTATTCTGCATTTCTGGACTGCGATTACACTTGGTCGCAGTTTGGTGTTGTGTTTTAGCGTGTCAATGAATTAACTTAAAAACTCATAATAATACTGAAGCAATTATAACACAAAAAGTAACATGTTAGTGTCTAAGGAAGTTTTGATAAAAATTATCATCGCACTAATATAATTCTCTCACTAATATTTGATCAAAATGAAGCAAAGTGATGAAAAAAGAAAGCAGATGTAGTTACCTGTTTACCGCTATGGTAAAAGAAAACTATACAAACTATCGAACTATTGTTTCTAAACTTCGAACTTCTAGTCTCTAGATAGAGATTGTGACCTACATTTCATCACTCTAAGAGAAAACCAATACACCATTATCAATTCTCATTAACGCGTTGATTTTCTATTTTGTACGTGTTTTACATAGTTAGTAAAATACGATACGATTATGTTATGTATACAATACATGTAGATATTTTACTTCGTCTATAAACTAATGTTACATCTAATAATACGTTAATATTCATCAAATATGTGAAATTTTTTATTTTAAAAATTAATATAGGTATAAATAATATTCAATTTAAAAATTTATTTTATCAAATACGAGTATTAAACGTATTATATAGATTTTATGCGTGTTTAATACGGGAGCCACCAAATGAACGGGAAATAATATAACGGTTTGATAATAATATGGAAACAAAAGTTTTAAACGTCTAAAATATGGACATTCATTTATATACATATTAAATGAAGTATTTACTAACAATGTTGACTGGTATTGAAATATGAGGCCATTTTATACCAGTCTATACCATATGGTATTGACTGGTATTGAAATAAGAGCATACCTATGGTTTGTAAAGCGTACCATGGTGGTATGACACAAACCAAAACTGTAGGATGATTGAATACATGATAGTAGAAGTATATTAATTGTCATTTACGACTTTTAACATTGTATACCATAAGATACCATAAGATACCACTCCGTACCAGGGTGGTATTGTATGGTATTGTGTGGTATTTTTTTGTCTTGTAATTTGTTCACCCAACAATTTGTAGATCCAATAGATCATGATGAACTCGTCCCTGCTGTGCAAACGTTTTCAAAAACGAATTAAAAACGAAGAAGATACCATATGGTATGCAGTTGGTACCGAGAGGCCATAATTTTTTTTCCTCAAAAAATATTGAAAATTGATCTCATTTTGTAGAGCACGATGAACTCGTTCCATCTGTGCAAAAAAAATTAAAATCCGAGTTAAAACGAAAAAGATATGAGTCAATTAAGAAAACTAGTAAAAATAAAAATGACCATTAATTATTCATCCTTAGATCTGGATTTTCTAAATGAAGGGTTCAGATTTGGTTATTGATGGGTGAATGACTTGAGCCACTAGACCTAGCTAAAATTAATAATACAATAATTGATTAACTAAAATTAATAATATATTAATTGGTTTTAATAAAGTTAACAACGAAATCCTTGTTAGCAACGAAATCTTTTTTCAATTAGTATAATTAACAAAATCTTTTCTTTCGATTTCTATTAATTAAAAGGATAAAAATATTAAAAAAAACAAAAATATCCTTCCTGGTAATGACCCCAAACTGCTTCCTCCTCTCCTCCAAACTGCAGCTGGTTCATCTCATCCGAACTCTCTATCTGGAAATGACCACAGCCTTTTCTCTTCCGGCTGATTCACAATCATCAAAATATTCTTCCTATGACATCAGATCTGTTTCCCATTGTCTGAACACACGGGAACCTCAAACAAACTCAGAATCCTCGATCCTCCCCCGTCAAAATCTTGTGTTAGTTCGTTCTTGTTTCTTACTTGTCCACCTAATCCGATCCCCATGTAAATTCTAGTCATGGAAGCAGCAGGAGGTGGAGGGTTCAATGTCGTTGAGGATGTGGTGGAATTTCGAGAATGCAGGAGGAATCACGCCCCAACCCCCCCAACCACCCAAACCCATATCTGCATTTTCAGAGGGTTTCGGTAGGGTGGGATTTCTACTTTAATTTCTAGGGCCAACCCCATCTTCGGCCGCCCAAACCTAGAACTCAAGGACGGGATCTTCGGGTGCACGAACAATGGCGGCAAAAACTGAGGAAAAAAGTGAAGTGACATTCATTTTCTTCTCGAGTTCCCTCACCATCGTCGGATCCTCCTTCATCACCCGATCTCATAGATTCTGTACAACAGATGCACCCTGAAAATCCCAGTAAGGTTGTGGGTGGGAGATCCTCTGCCTCAATTTGGAGTCATGCTCGGACATCGATTTCTTTATTGACGGTGAAAACAGGAGGAAGAAAATTGTGATTTTGTTTGTCTTCATTGTGATTTCCACAAGCAAGCACGAGATTAGCTGAAATTCGACATAACAGTTTAGAGAAACCCTTCCAAATTCGAGAAAATGTGCAGCAGGCAGCTGCTGTCGCAGAAATTTGAGCAAGAAGCTCTTACTATAGCTAGCTGTATAGCTAGTGAGGCCCAGCAAGCGCGTCGACTTGAATCCAAGAATGGAACCTGTGTTGTCCATCCATGCGCGTCATCTGCCATATTATATAATAGAATCTGCTGCTTGCTTCCTGTATCGGCATGGCAAGTTGGCAACCAATTAAGCAAGCATGGGATCGTCTCATCCTCACGCCATACCATAACACTTGCGTTTTGGTATTGGTATTGGTATCTCCCTTTTCACTTTCCCCCTCTCTCCCTCTCTGCAGCAAAACAATCCCGAACAGCAGAGAAGAATCAATCCATTCTTCTACTCCGATTCCCCTGTTCCCTCTCTTCCTCTATATACATGTATGCCCCAATGAAGAGAGTTGCAGAGTCGGCATGGCATAACTACCAACCAACCAACTCACTCACTCCAACTTATTATTCTTCCTCGACCTGTCCTGTCCTCCGATGGCAGCAGCAACTGGGCCGGTGGTGGATGCAGACTACTTGAAGGACATCGACAAGGCTCGCCGCCGTCTTCGCGCTCTCATTTACGCCAAGCAATGCGCTCCCATCATGCTTCGCTTAGCGTACATTTTCTCCTCTCTTTTTCCTACACTATATATATCTCTACTCTACGTATTCTCTCCTTCCTAATTATATTCTGGATGTTTACGGTGAAAACCAACCAACCAACAAATTGAACAACACAAGATGGCATGATGCGGGGACATACGACGCCAAAACAAGGACGGGAGGTCCGAATGGCTCGATCCGGGGCCGGAACGAGCTGTCTCACGCCGCCAATTCTGGATTGAACACGGCCATTGACTTCTGCGGTCTCCTTTCTTCTCCCTCCTTCCATACTTGATTAATTTGCTTCCGGCTGGCTCATGGGTTGTTTCTCATTTTTTACAGAAATAGTCAAGTCCAGGCATCCCAGGATCACCTACGCAGATCTGTACCAGGCAGGCAACATTATTTGTTCAACTTGTTCTTTTACCGTCACTGTGTAACAGTTTTTCGCCTTTTACTAATTTGGGTTTCCTTTCCATCGTTGGTTTGCTGTGCGGGGAGGCACATAAATAGCTTGCAGGGGTTGTTGCAGTTGAGATCACAGGGGGTCCGACAGTTGACTTTGTTCCAGGCAGAAAGGTCCCAACGAAATAACTGTCTTTCTTCGTGTATTGTCTCTTCTCTTTCTCTCGTTTATACATCTTTGACATAATCAAATTAGGACATAAGAGATTCCCCTGAAGAAGGCCGGCTTCCCAATCCAACCCAAGGTCCTTCCCACCTCAGGGATGTCTTTTACAGAATGGGACTTTCAGACAGAGACATTGTTGCACTCTCTGGAGGCCACACTTTGGTAGCTATTAACCCAAAATCCCTCGTCAAAATCCTACAAGCAAACGACCCCTAAATCACTAACTCTTGGTTACGTTTCACAAATTTTGTCCAGGGAAGAGCGCACGCAGAAAGATCAGGTTTTGAAGGTCCATGGACCAAGGAACCATTCAAATTTGATAACTCTTACTTTGTGTAAGCAAAAAGCACAGAATCTTTCACTCCCTATCAATTTTAGCAACAAAATTGCGAGCATTGACTGTTTGTTTGATCCTGCAATTCATTCAGGGAGCTGACAAAAGGAGAATCACAAGGACTGCTAAAGCTCCCCACTGACAAGGCTCTTATGGAAGATCCCAAGTTCCGCGAATTAGTCCTTTTATATGCCAAGGTAACTAACTAGCTGCTGATACCTACTTACTGCTCATCCATCATGTACTGTTTTGTATTGCCCAGTTCCACTTCAAGAGCCATTCTTTCGTTCAATTATGCTTTACAGGATGAAGAAGCATTCTTTGAAGACTATGCACTGTCACACAAAAAGCTGTCGGAGCTGGGGTTTTCCTCAGCAGCCTGGACCAAGCTTCGAGCATTGCTTTGGCTCCAACATTTGAAGGCTTTGTTGGGTTTCACTAGGCGTGCCAAGTGAGCTAACAACTGCTGAGCTGCTGGATTCAATGAAGAATGTTCAAAATTCTACTCCTTTTCACCAGTAGCATTCTCTACAAAAAATAACCAAAACAATGGAATGAACAATCAAGGAAGAAACATTTGGTGTTTTTATTATCGAAAACAGAGATTTTCCCTTCCATGATAGATAATAGTATGAATGGTGGAGGCTGGGAAGCCTTTGTAAATCTTAAAAGCTTGGTTCGCACTTCCCTACCTCTCTCTCTCTCTAAATCAATCAATTAATTAAAAGATGGTGGTCGATGAGAACAAGTTTATCTTCTCCCTCTTAAAACTTAAAACTGGTCTTCTTCAATAGTAATTCTCCCTACACACTATGGGTCGACCTTGAGAGCTTCTTCACTTGGGTTTAGTCAGGGAGACCTCTTTCTCAAGGATTATGGGTTGGCCTCGAGTGTACAATATGGATTTGGGCCCCATTATTATCAGACTCGCCTGATACTTCGGGGTGGACACCACCATTTCAATAGAGGTGGGTCGAACATAGATATTTTCTGTGCTGACGCTCCACCATATGAGGCTAATTCACCTCGAGCGAGGCATCAAGTACATCGATGGTCTCCAACCTTCTGCTTTGTTCAGGCCAGTAGTGAAGGCGGCACCAGAGCCACCATGGAGAGTACCACCACCATCAACACGCCATCATGGCCACTATGGGGCTTCATCATCAATCGGAGCAGGACCATCTTCTTCCTTGAGCGACCTAGAGACACACGTCTCTGCCTTTGAGGGCCAGTTTTCCGGTGTATCATCCCAAATCGCATGAGAGTGAGATGCCTGACTGATATGACCAAAGTACGCAGCTTCAATGATCTTTTTAAACTTTTATTGATTTCTATTCTTCAACTCGAAAATAAAGATAGGTTGCAAAATCAATCAGAAAATTCCAACTCGTAATAAAGGGAAATTGGTATATGAAACCAATCGGACAAAATCAACTCATGGAAAGGGAAAATTGATATAAGGTAAATGCCTGCCACAACTAGAAGCATTATGCCATTCTCTAGTTGATAAGAGACACATGAAATCTCCTGGAAATCCTTCAACATAAAGCTTGCACTAAACATTCCTATGGAACTCGAGTGAAACTAATGAAATTGATTGCTGAAAACTTGATTGCAAAAACAATAGAATTCTGCCCTTTAAATAGGGTTACAAACCCAAATCCAAAACAAACAAGGAAAGCAAAATAAACACTCAAATTTAAACACAAAATTCGAAAATAACCATTCCTTCTCCTCTAAGCATTTGAATTGGTCTTATTCCTTCTAAGCAAAGGAAACGACCTTCCTTTTGGCTAAGGGCACTCCATAAGCCCATTCAAGCACTGCCACCCTCTTATCCCTTCAACTCCACTCAATCTCCCAAGCCCATCTTCTCCCTTCGTTCTCCTTCCATGTATTGTAGCAACACAATTGACTTCGCTTTGAGCTGGTCCACATCCATGTCATCAAATGTTGATCCAAATATTGTGCAAATTCCTCACTTAGCTTCTTATCCCTTAAACGTATAATTAGACCCTATTGTGATGTTGTAGGCTTGGTTTTGATGACATCATCAGTCCCTACCTCTTGAAAAGGATTTGACCTAAAATCCGTATTGTCATCCAAATAAGGTGCAAGATCATAAACATTGAAGGTTGCACTTACCCCGTACTCTCCCGACAAGTCAATTTTGTAGGCATTGCTTCCAACCTTTGAAATTACTTGCAAGGGACCTTCAATTCTAGGTAGTAGCTTGGATCTCCTTTGGTATGGAAATCTCTCTTGCCTCATGTGCACCGACACCCAATCTCCAGCTTCAAATGATCGAGGCTATCTATTCTTGTTGACGTTCTTCATAATTTGCTTCATCCTTCTCTCGATATTCAACCTTGCCTTCTCATGAAGATTATTCCCGTCCAGACTGTGATCATCAGCTTCCTGCCCATTTGACTACACTTGTGCCCTTTTTCGAACCTAATTCACATGTATCGTCTAAAGGACCCTAAAATCACGACATAATAAAATAGGAACAAAATAAGGATGCAATCAAAGATAATCTTCCAATAATGCGGGCTATAGTGATCATATAGTATTTGATGATTCCATGTTGAGTAATGTGGTAATGGATTCAATTAGTCGACTAGTCAGGATTCCTAATGGAACCAGAGTTCCAGTAGCTAAAGTAGGATCAGTTGTGCTATCGCCGTAATTGAAATTGGACAGAGTACTCAATGTGTCCCAATTTTTTTGTAATTTATTGTATGTTAGTCATCTCACAAAGTAGAGTAACGTTGCTTTGATCTTCCTTCATGACTTTTGTATTCTCCATGACTTACAATTCAGGAACGTGATTGAGAAGAGGATTTTCCGTGACGGTCTTTACTACCTCCGTCTCTTTGCAAACAATGATTGTCAAGTGTTTGCCGCAGTAGGAGGTCAAGTCGTTTCGTCCAAAATTTGGCATTCTAGGCTGGGTCATCCATTTATGACAAAGATGGTGCAACTGGCTTCTTTTTTGTTTCCTGCACTTCGAGTTAGTGAGGATTTTTGTCATTCATGTTCTCATGCTATTTATACTCATACACCTTTTGTTTCTAGTAACATTAAGAAGATGAATTGTTTTGAACTTGTCCATCTTTATCTATGGGGTAAATACCGTGTTCCTTCTACTGATGGAGCTCATTATTTTCTCACTATCGTTGATGATTTCAGCCGTACTTTCTGGGTTTATATGCTATGTTACAAGTCCGATGTTACTAAGTACTTGTTTTTGTTTATGGATATGGTTTGAACACAATTTCATGGTCGTGTCCATCATATTCAAACCCACAATTGGGACTGATTTTCAGACAACCATTCTTCATGATTACTATATGTTCAACAATGAATTCATTTTCAGACCAATTGAACTGACACTCCACAATAAAATGGAGTTTTAAAACAGAAGCATATGCACATACTCAATACAGCATGCGCACTACATTTTCATGTCGGCTTGCCCATACAGTTTTGGGGAGAGAGTGTTAACGATAGTTTACTTGTTTAATTTTCTTCCCACAAAACCAACAGACAAGACTCCCTTTGAATTTCTCTTTGGTAAGCCAACACCTTACTTCACCTTTGCGTCTTTGGATGTATTGTCTACGCAAAGGATACTCATCTTGGCCTTCACAAGTTCGCCAACAAAGGTTGTATGGGTGTCTTCTTGGGATACCCACCTGATCAAAAGTGGTATCAACTTTACGACCTTGTTACTCAAAAGTTCCTAGTCTCGAGGGCTGTCTTGTTCGTTGAAGACCATTTCCCCTTTCGAACCTCGGATCAACAAAGTCTTCATTGGGTGCCTCCAGAGAATTTTTTCTTTTTAGAACCGGAGCGGCCATTGCCAATTCCCCTCCTAGTTTTGAGGGCATCACCTCTCGACCCGAGCTCTCCCGGCTCCTGCTCAATCTCCACTCTTGTTCCAAGTTCTACTTCAGTTGGGCCTGAAAATACTTCCCCAGTTCTAGATCCCGTGTCATCCAGCTCGGTCTCGAGCGATACCTTGCTCACAGGACCATCTAAGCTAGTCTCACCTAGCCCGACTTCTTCTTCTTTGACTCTAGTGAAACCCAACATTTTCTAGGCTCCCCTTCGTCGTAATGATCGAGTTGGTACTCGCCCCAAGTTGGGAGATTATAGCACGACTATTAATACTACTCAGACCGTCGTTTACCTTTATTAGCTCATGTCTCGTATTCTCGAGCTACCCTGCATATCAGACATTTTTGGATGTTGTCACTAGCCATGATGAACCTAAGACTTTCAACCAAGGTGTTCAATATACGCATTGACGTGAGGCTATGTTCAAGGAAATCACCGCTCTCATTCAGAATGGAACGTGGAGTATTGTTATCCCTCCACTCGATCGACATATCATTGATTCAAAGTGGGTTTTCAAGATTAAATATTTTCTAGATGGCACTATCGAGCATTATAAGCCTCTGTTAATGGCTAAGGGATAACTCAGGTTGAAGGTGTCGATATCATGATACGTTTGCTATAGTGGCTAAACTTGTTCTTGTTCGTTGTTTAATTATCGTGGTTGTCCACTGCGGTTGGTTTATTCATCAGCTAAATGCTAACAATTCTTTTCTCCACGGGGATCTGGATGTAGAAGTGTATATGTGTATTCCTCTTGGCTTTGCCAAAAAGGGGGAAAATCACATTTGTCATCTCCACAAGTCCATGTATGGTCTCCGGCAGGCATCTCGTAATTGGTATCACAAGCTTACTGCTTCTCTTAGTGAACTTGCTTTCCGTGTGTCTCTGGATGATCATTCTCTTTTTATCTACCAGAAAGATGGTGTTTTTGTCGCTTCTCTTATCTACATTTATGATGTCATTTTGGCAGGAAGTGCCATGCCTTTCATCAATCATGTTAAGGCCTTCCTTGATTAGCGTTTTTCGTATAAAGGATTTAGGTTCTCTAATCTCTCTGCTACTTCTTGGGTATTGAAGTTGCTCGCTCTCCATGTCGCATTGTCGTAAGACATCATAAGTATACTCTTGATATTCTTGAAGAGGCGTGTGTTTAGGCTACTCGTCCCACCGCCTTCCATGTCGAACAAAATCATCACTTGGCACGACCCTCTAATGTTACCCTCACTGATGGTTCTGCCTGTCGACGTCTTGTTGGTTATCTCCTCTACTTGACAATCACTCATTCGGATATCACCTATGAAACAACCCAATTCTTTTGAAAAAAAAAACCAAACCATTATTCAAACAAAAAACCGGTTACTCCGGAGCAAACCCAACCACGTTTTAAAGTTAAACAAAAAAAATCAACCAACGACAATAACCAGAAATCTCAAACGAAAAGCCCTAAACAGTTGGGTCAATCTCAATCCAAAACATTTAAAGATAAATATTGAGTTTTCCAGTATACTCATAAGACACGAAATAAAGACAAATATGGTAAGTGAGAAGAGGGTCAGTCTCGTCATTACTTACTAAGGTCTTTGCCTCAAGTAAATCCTTACTAAGGTCTTTCCCCACCTGGTGAGTGAGAAGAGGGTCAGTCTCGTCATTACTTACTAAGGTCTTTGCCTTAAGTAAATCCTTACTAACACGTTATTAGAAATAACTTCCTCTTACATGAAAGTCGGTCTCTTTCATCCTTAAAACCTTATTCCAACGTTAAATCATAGAAGTTTCTACTTCTATCTTAACTCATATACTTATTACTAGGGTCCACCGCGTTACGTATCGCCGACCGGTGTCCCTATTCGCAATGTTACTGCTTTGCGTAACGTCGTCCAGTCCATGCCCGGTCAACTACTGTGTTACGTATCATCGTCCAGTAGTGACCCAACCATCTACCGCGTCCAGTAGTGACCCAACTGCCCGAGGGTTCATCTTACATACAAACATCACATACATAGCACAACGCGTGCCTCCACCTTAAGTAGGGGGTGGGATGCCTTACACACATAATCATGCTTACTTGAAAATAACAAATATAACTGAATTAAAAGACATAAACTAAAAGACCTCGACGGATATTTTATCCCCTTTACACTCACCTCTCAAGTGCCGATACTTTACTTCTTTTGACGTAGAGTCCCTTAACTTGATCGCCCCCTTAATCCTTTAAATCGAGATAAATTTCCCTTAGTCGGCATTCCGTAAAATTTTCCATCCTCCTAGCTTAATCCCAAAATTCTTTGAAAGGACCCTTAAACTCTTTTAAATAATTTTCCTAAAACAGTGGAATTTTCTCAAAATTTTTCAAAACTTAGATTATTACGATTAACTAAAAAATAAATCCTTTAAATAAACTTCATAAATTTACAAAAATCATTTCCCTCTTAAAATTACAAATTCTGACTTTGAATAACTCAAAACATAACCCAGAATTATTAACTAGAGTTTACACCTTGATTAACCCTTGTTCTCATTTAATTTTAGGGCTAATACCACTAGAAAACCTGAACTATTAACTTTGTGTCATTTGTGTCCTAAAGTATTCGATATGACAATTGTATCCTAAACTATTTCTCCATTAGAGTTGACCGGCGTTGACCGTTAGTTTTTAACAGAAAATCCAGTAAGCGCTGATGTGGCATCTGAAGTGGAATTTATAATTATTTTTCATATAAAAAAAGAAAATTACAAAAATAAAAAATAAGAACCCATCTCCATCGTCTTCTCCGACCTCTCCCCTTCTCGTCCACCTTACACGACCTCTCCCTCTTCTCAAACCCTCATTTCCGTTGCACACAAGTCGGCTAGGGAGCGACGACGAGCCCACAACCGAGCTTCAAGGAAACCCCGACGGTGGACCGTGGCGGTGAACCAAACCCTAAAATTTGGGGATTTTTTTTTTTGTATTCGACGGTGGACAGCGGCGGTGAACCAATCCCTACCCGTGAGAGACACCTCTCAACTCTGCCGCCGAACTCACAAAATCCCCAAGATGCCTATTCATTCTCACAAAGTCCCCTCCTCCGATGCATTCTCACATCCTCCATTCATTGCTTAAAGAACCCATCAAAGCAAAGGAACGAAAACGAAATCAGAATTGGAGAATAAGAATCATGGGATCCATCAGCAATGCTCTACAACACTAGACCCAACCCTTCCAATCCACCACCGTCTTCAACATCCTCCACCCATCTCTCTCATCATCTCCCAAAAGTCCACTGATTCCTTCATACCATATGAAGCTCATCATGCTTCAGATCTATGCAATCGAACGGGGCCTCGATAGTCGCCATACAACCTACTCCCAATTCACGGTGAACTGGTCGGAATCTGGGATTTGAGAAAAAGCAGAGGCTGCGAGATGGAAGAGATAATAGATGCAAATGAATTATGAGCTTGGGTTAACAGCAGAGGAGATAAAGAAGAAGGGAGCCCTGGCGTTGATGGGAGCTCGACGGAAGTGAGGCCGTAGGTAGGGATTTTCCCTTTTTGTTTCAAAATCTAATTTTTTAATAATTTATTTTATTTTTTTAATTTAATTTGTGATTAATTTGGTGTCTATTACATATTTCTTATTTTATTTTTAATTAATTTTAAATAAAAAATGAGTTGTCAATGACTTGGCATCTGCGTGGCTGCCACGTCAACAAATGTCAATGTTAAAGTTGACTTCCGTCTGGTCAACCGTTATGTATAATGGTCAACAAAATCATCAGGACATAAATGACACACAACTATCATACGTTGGGACACAAATGTCATATTGAATACTTTAGGACACAAATGACACAAAGTTAATAGTTCGGGTTTCCCAGTGGTATTAGCCCTTTAATTTTATAATAAAAAAATTTAAATCTATAATACCTACGTCTAAAATTCCGGTTCCTAATTTTAAAATGTACTATAAATATTTAAATTTTTCAGAAAATTATCAAATTAATAAAGATATGCATACAGTAATTTAATCAGTTAAAGCCGACATATTATAAGTTTTATAATTATCCAATCGACTCTAAAAACTCCCAAATAAACTCTGTGCAAATATACAAGTATATAGCATCGACTAAAATTATCAAAACCAACAAAAATATTCGATTATTATTTTATTTTACTAAATTCGTATTCCTAATAATTTTTATAATTGGAAAAGCAGTTTCAAAAATTCTCAAAATCAATATAAAAACATTCTATATATTTAATCCTATTTATAAAATTATCATACTATGAAAATACATATTGTACAACAACAACGAAAAAATAATAACAATCTTGAGAAAATACTATTTTTCGGCCTATTATAAAAAGTTTAAATTGTTGGAGACTAAACTGCTCTTACTGAAAATATGGGCGACCCAAATGAAATTACTGTTTAGATCCCTGTACTTTTTTTTCGGTAATTATTTCTTCCATTAAGCTCACTTGATCAACACGATCAAGTTGCACAAAAACTCTACATCTTACAGTGGAAAACTCTCAAAATCAAAAGTGTGGATTTAATGTTCCTACCACTCTACTCTGCCTAAAGCATCTTTAAATCATAAATTTTCTTGTGCTAATAACCAAACCTCCTCACGTAATTGCAAGAAGACAACCTCCCATGGCTTGGGAATTTTTCAAAAACACGTCTACATCTCTTCTTCTAAACCAAACTGCAAACCAAACACCAAACAACACTCAGCACAAAACCATCTCTACCATTCTTAGCCACTGAACACACCTCTTGTAGCATCTACTCTCAATCGGAACCCCAACTTCGTAGCAGACTGCCAAATAGCGCAGCAAACAAGTGCCCAGTATACTCACAACTACATAACAAATGACAACGACTTTCTTCCTCTAAATCACAAACTACACACACTGCCTCATTGATCTTACCCCACATCTTGAGCTTGTCACGAGTCACTATTCGATTTAAAATGACAAGCCACATAATAACTATGTTTCTGGGGAGAGTGTACTTACCCCAAATCACCTGCCACCAGGGAACTAGAGATCTATGCACCCGAATAGACTCCCAGACTTGCTGCACCAAAAACCTTTGCATAAGCTTGCCCTCCCAGAAAACCTGATTTTAAGCATTTGCAGTCATTCTGTATTGATACCACCCACGAAGGTTAAGTAGTTGTCTCCATAGCCAGGATCCAGCCATGATCAGCTTCAGCTCCCAAATAGATCGAGCTCTCAACCTATAGCGCCTCACCCATGCCACCCAAAAGCTCCCTCCCTCCCCCTGCAGAAACAACAACCACAAGAGACGAGCTAAACATGCAAAATTTCAAGTTCTGAGGTCACTCAATCCCATACCACCCTCTTTCTTTGGTGTAGCCAATAAGTCCCACGCAACCTTTGCTTTCCTTATACCATCCCCATGCCACATAAAATCTGAACAAATCTTCTGACTATTCTCAATTACCTTCTTGGGCAAAATGAAAATTGTCATCCAATGTTGACATAGGGAATAAAGAACAGAAGAAATCTGTTGGAGGTGGCCTGCATAGGATAGCTTACTAGCCCTCCATGCCCTGATCTGACTTGTCAATTTATCCATCAATATAGCACATTCTCCATTAGTAAATTTGCCAGAGATCAAAGGTACACCAAGATAATGTACAGACAATTGACCCTCTCAAAACCCTGTGAGAAGAAGTGCATTTGACTTGTATTGAATTGCCTAACCACCAAAGAAAACTTCATACTTCTGTGGGTTACACTTCAGTTTGGACATTCAATAAAACTCATCAAGCAGGCTCTTTACTCTAGCAGAATCAGGATTTCAAGAGGGGGAGGAGATTTCAGTGGTGAGTTTGAAGGAGGTTTCACATAAAAGCTATTTTGAAGGAATTGTAATTGCAATCAACCAATCTTGTCATTGTTTCCTCTGCATTTATTTAGTTGCTACGAATGTTAGGCCAAGAAAGACTAGTTTATTTTTCTTGTCTTTGCATAATTCAGTAGGATACTGAGATCAATACCTGCAAGTGGTTTGTATATGTGGATTGTATCATTAATTAATTAATATATATAAATGTAAAGCAAGGTTGTCAAACCGCGGGTCGACCCGGACCCGGACGAGCTAGTGGGTCATGGGTCAATGGGTCACCCGTTTTAGCCCGGTTTAGCCCGGTTTAGCCCGGAAATATGAAAAGAGCCAATATATTCTATTTATATCCTGAATCCAAAATAAAAAAAATGCAACACTACTTCAACTACAACACACTTAAATAACATAAACTTAAATTCAACATAGTAAAAATTCAACAACACTTAAATCATTCACATAACATCAACTTAAGTCCATCATAGTTAAAAATTCAAGAACCCTTAAATCCAACACTCTTAAATCCATAACATAACATCAACTTAGAATTCCAAATAACAAAAGAAAAGTACTCAATCTTCAAAGATAAAGCTATCCATCTCCATCTCCATTGCATCAACAAGATGAGAAATGTCGAAGTCAATTTCATCAGTCAGATCATACTCAAAGTCCTCTGCATCAAAACGTGAAATCAAATATTCATAATTATTACCAATTAGAAGATAGTTATTATAAGAATGTCTAGACTTTTCTATAGTTGCTATAATAGGCAAACCTTCAACACGAGGACGCTTGTTAGAAGATGATGATGATCCTTGCTCCTCCTCCTCCTCCTCATAAAGAGTCTTTTCAAGCTCTTCATAGTCTATATCTGCAGGTGGATCTTCTTCTACAATCCAAAAATCAATGTTATCTAATTGTTCATAATCAATTGGGTCTTTCGCCCACTCCTTCTTCAAGCACCTACAAGTCAAAGAATATTAAACAATTAAGTATATGAATATGAAGTGTTAATAACTTTACAATGTTGTATACAATTTAATCATTACCTATTCTTCAACCTCAAATTGTAAGTCACATAAACAAGATCATTCAATCTTTGATGCTCCAATCGATTCCTTCGCTTACTATGAATTTGGTCAAACACACTCCAGTTCCGCTCACATCCAGAAGAAGATGATGTTTGAGACAAAAGTCGAATAGCTAGCTTCCTCAAATGTGGAGCATCGTCTCCAAATAGTGTCCACCATTCAGCTTTTCATTCAAACAAATTATTCTAAATAAGTATATAAACTTTGAAAATATTGTAAGCTTAAAACTAAATATGTAACAACTAACAAGTAATTAGAATTGGTTACCTGGAGGTAAAGTGGAAGTACACGAGATAGCTGATTTCTTCCCAAAGCTTCCAAGCCTATCTCTAAAAAGTCTAATCTCTTGCATTGCTTCTTCTATATTATCACATAGGCCTTCAGTTTCAAGAAGATCAATAAGACAAGTTTGCAAACCACGCTCCTCTCGAGCTTCCTGAGTATATTGAAAAACCGGGTTCAGATAATATGCACCTCCATAGATGCTATATCGAAGATGCTTATCCCATCTAGCATCAATTAACTTCATATATACATCAGCCCCTCTTCCATTGCCCATAAAAGTGTTCTTGATAGTCTTCTTTATCCTCATCATTCCATCATGCACATACCCCAAAGATGGCTGCTTATCAGAATCAACAATCCTCAACAACTTCACGATTGGCAATGTCAACTTCACAATCACTAAACAATCCTGCCAGAAATTGTTATCCAACACAATTGACTTGATGTGCTTCCCCTCTTTAGACTTTCCCAACTTGTGAGATGTAAAGAAGCTACTTGTAACAAGTTGTTCCAACAGTGGCCTATGATCATACACACTTTTCATACATATGAAGCTTGTAGCAAATCGAGTTGCTCCCGGACGCACAATCTGCTTCCAACCCTCTAACTTTTTCAAAAAAGCTAAGATAGGAAGATGACTATAGACAAACACACTGATCTTCTGAGCTCGTGCAACCAAGTTTGACACATGTTTCATCTTGTAAATATCTTTCAACAAAAGATTAAGAACATGTGCAAGACATGGAGACCAAAAAATGCTCTTATACTTCTCATGAATTCTTCTTCCCGCAGCAACATAATTAGGAGCATTATCTGTGACAAAATGCACAATATTCTTTGGCCCAATCATGTCAATCACACCACCAAACAAGTCGGCCAAAGTACTTGCATCCTTAACCATGTGAAAAGTGAGTTTACTGTTGCGTAAACAAGTAGATTTTGATACTCCATATTTAATTAAATTCCAACTTTAATTTTAATGAAAATGATTGAATAATCATATTTTGATATCTAAATTTTATGAGATTTCGTACTTATAACTTTTTTAAATTTACATATTGGTCCAACTACAGGATAAGATTCGACCATTTTATATTTGCTCATTACGTGATACATTAAATAAATGATAAAAGAGAGAAGACTCTAAAATATTTCAAGAGCGGATTTATAAACTCATTTAGTACATTTCCGGGGACTAAACAAACTTCTACTAACTACATGGAACAAAATATGCGACATCTACATAAGCAAGTGTCGATAAATTACTACGTGAAAAGGGTTGACTGTTGTATTAACAGCCAACTAAAAGAATTGGTCAAAACCTTTCTATCATCTACTTCCTCTTCATTTCATTATTCACTTGCCTTCCATAACCCTTTCTTTATTTCTTTATTTGCCTTCTTCGTCTAACCCTAATTAGTATACTATTTTTATGTATTCTAAGGGTCCATACACGACTGACCAACAGTCTAGAGAATTAATAATTGAACCATGAACCACTAACTTTTTCAGCTCAATGTCGAGTCCAATAAAAAATAAATATATATATGGTTATTACTTATTAAAAAGTCGTCATTTTCCACTATGGGATTTGAAGGCGTGGAATTTTTAAGCGAGTTCCAGTTTGTATTCCTTTTGCTTCTCTCTTGAGTTTTTCTTTTCCACCCGATCTAGAATTTTCAACAACTTTACATGGAATGTTTGGCTAGGTATCTAAACATATCAAATAAATAGTTTCTTATTTTCTATAAAAAAGTAAATAATTATCATCTTAATTACATTACCATAAAAGGAATTAAGCCTCATTTATGCAAATTATAATTCGGTACCTAAACTTAATAGATATTTAGATTTATAATCTAAAATTATTTTCTTGGCATCTAAGTCCTCAAAATATTGACGGAACACTACATTTTAGTACCTGAAATTTTTGTGTATTACATTTTGGTACCTAAACTTTTGAATTTCTACAAATAGGTCTAATTTTTGTATGTGTAATTAAAACACACTCGAATAAATGGGTATCCATACCCAACTCATACAAATTTATATTATGAAAGTAAATATCCATATACCCTACCCAACCCCATCTACAAACTTCCAAACCCATATATATGTCACCCAGACCCTACTAATGATCAATGAGTATACTTAATGGTATACATTAATTTTTCTTGACAAAACTCGGAATGAGAATAGGTGCTAACCTCTTAAGGGATTAGCACCATATTAACTACTCTAACAACCACTAGATTAAAATAACAATCCTAGAGTTAGAATTAACTCAAGGATAATTTAGTCAACAATTACGCAAACTCTAATATAAATACTCATCTTTCAACCTGTTTCCACATTTACGGCTTCCTCTCTCAATCTCTCATTCACGCCAAAACCTAGAAAAGCCAGAGAAGGGTGCTTGCGAGCGGAGGGCGGCGCTGAAGTCGGCGGGGATGGGCGGGGAGACGTTGGCGGAAATGGCTCTTTTCACGTCTACAACCGCCCTGGTGCTCTGTCACCAGTTCCGCGTTCGACGCTTCTTGTTGGCTCGTCCTTCCCGTTCAAGGCCACCGCCGCCCAGATCTGGGGCTCTGCTACCAGTTTCGTCTCTGATTGATCCATTCTCCCTCCTTCCATTCGATCGTCCACTGCCTGATTTCTCCCCCCTGACAATCGGCGTCTATTCGGAGGAACCAACAAATATGCTTGTTAAATTAAAGCAACACACAATGAAGCTGCTGATTTGTCCTCGTAGTGATTCCATTAGGTGTTGATTAATTGTCATGGTAATTGCGGTGAATTTTTTTTTTTTTTTTGTGGGAGTAATTGCAGTGATTAGTTATCAAATATGCATCATATTCAATTACGAAAAGAGACATAAATATGTTTGTCGATTAGTAGTGATTATGTTTGTAGATATCAGTGTCATTGTGTCGACTAGTAGTGATTTTGCTGTTATGATTAATAGTGATTCTTATTGTAATTATTGATTATTTATGTTCTCCATTAGTAGTGTTTTGCTTATTTGTAGTAGTAATTTTCATATTTGTAATAGTGATTTACTTTTTAGTAGTGATTCTTACTTAGCCAATCACTACTCTTAAAATGATAAAACACTATTAGTTAAATTAAAATAACTACGCTACACCTGCAAAAACAATACTACAAGTCACCAAAACTGCTACTAACTGTAAAAATTTTCTCCCCTTGAAATGCTCTATGAGAGAGACGAAATAAATATTTTAAAATTTAATTTATTAAATTTAATTTCTAAAAATACCAAATATACCCCTCATTATACTCCATCCTCAAATTAACTTAAATATAATGAATGAATATTAGATTGGTTAGTATTGTAGACACCACTTTTTGTCCGGGCTAAAACCTTTTTACTTAAATAAAATTTAGTTTTTATTGAAGATTTGCAATAGCAAGTCTTAAATGATTTTCAGGCTAAAACATATTGATAGTGCTCGAGATTGGTAGTGGTCGCCATAACTTGACGAGATTAAGCAATATACGAGATTAAGCAATAGCAAATCTTGATCGATACAATTCGATGATGAGAGTTGATTTTTTTTTTTTTTGCTTTGATTAGACGAGCGAGACATGGACTTCATTTTGCTATCGTATGAGTTTGATCATTTTCTTAAGACAATTTTCTTAAGACGGTGGGTCTAGTGAGGATTGGACTCAACTTTGGAACATCATTACATTAAAGATAAAGAAATAAAATAACAATCTTATTAAAATAAATTCCATTTACATGTACAAATACATTACTACAAAGTTGTTACATAAATGACCTTTAAAATTGTATAAATAAAAGAGATTGGGCTCAAGTCAAAGCCCAACCAAGGAGTCAACTGTCAACAAAAGTCAAAGCTGGCCAAACTGATCCGTTGACCTGTTCTGACCTAACCCATGACCAATCGAACTCAAAACCCAAGCATGGTCCAACCAATGACCCAAACCCGGTCAGACCAAATTGGGTATTGTAGCTTGCTTGCTGCCTAAGCAGCCTCTTTCTATAAAAAGAGCCCTTTGGGCACTTACAACGAGGAGGCTTCTCTGAAACCAAACTCTGCAAAAACCACCCCCTGCAGACTCCCTCTCTTCTTCTTCTTCATTTCTTGATCATTCCCAAACTCCTACCCTTCCAAAACACACAGCCACAGCCTGAAACCCTCTTCCACTTCTTTCACCTTCTTTTTCCAGCCACAAGCCCACCATAAAGAGACAACTTCTTCTTAACATAAGTCTGCAGAAACAGGGACACCCTCTTAACCCCAACAGAAACAGAGCAGAACAGAGAGAACAAAACTCTGCAAAATCCCACTTCCACTCATTTCTTCTTCTTTCTTTTAGCAACACACAAAACATACACAAGGAAAAGAGATAGCAATAAGACAATCTCATTCTACTTCCTTCTACTCTTAGCCGATACACCACACACACAAACAGAAGCCAAAAACAAATCCAAAAAGGACAACAAAAAAAACCTCACCACAAACATCCTCCCCTGCCGCCAACATCAGCAAAAGCACAAAGGAGGTAGCGGACAAAGAAGCTCAGAGAATCAAGGAGAGGGAGAATCATCACCCAAACAACAAAAAAGGTCAAAAAGGTTGGTAGTCACTAAAAATCATAAATCATCATCCAGTATCCATATAATGCTTAATCCAAACTGTACAAATCGACTTAGATCTCTAAAAGCAATCCAGCTAAAATTAACTCCAACCAAATTATAAGATGGTTAATCTCACCACCATGATAACAAAATAAACAAACAAATCGGATTTTTGCTTGCTTTCTTTACAAGTTCATTATAGTTCTTTCTATACCTATATATTAGCTTTTGTCATCTACTTCATTGTTTCCACTTATCAGTATTTCCATTGATCAATCATATCACATGTTAGAAGCTACACGTTTCCTATATGTGTTTCGTTTTAGTAGTTTTACTTAGCTTTCCACCACACATACAACTAAGCTAACATAAAAACACATAAGCTACAATAAACTTATAGAAATCTCAGATTTGAAAGATACCATATTCGCACAAAATTCCAGTTATAAACACAAGATTTCCATATGATTTTTCAAGCCATAAACTTCAAAATCCAAAAATTACTATGAACACCACAAAACAGACTCCCAGGTTCAAGCACCACGAGCACAAAGATTGCAGATTTACATACATCATAAAAACCACTAATTTGACAACTTAATCAATCCCAAAGTTTATACCTACATCAGCCCAACATTGTAAGAATCGAAATCATTCATGAGAAATGACACAAAGCTCCTAAAGATCTCACGCAATAGTAGTGACTTTAGGTAGCTATCAGGTTTACGAACTATTGTCATTTTAACACAAATCTGGGTTTCCAAATCATAAACCTAAAACAATCAAACATTAAAACTCAGCATACCAAAATAATAGCTAAAGAACATACCAAACATCATTTTCTAATGCACAAATAGCATTCATTTCCAACCTTGAGAACTCCTACCCACATCAACTTAGGATAGAAGTCAGACCCCTTCAAGTAGAGTCGAAATCAAAGGCATAAAACGAGCCCTCACCTCATCCTGTCACCGGCGTTACTGTCCTCGGCGGCGGTGCAATCTCGGTACTCGCCTTTTCCTATAGCTTCCGAGGCCATAAAATCAAAACCCAAAAAGAAGCAAATCAGAAATCCAAACCCAGAAATCTAAAGCAAAACAAGATTCAGTAGAACCTAAAAAACTTACCACAGGGATACCACCCTGCCGTCGTCATCTTCGTCGCCGGCGAGATCCTATAATAGCGCCGCCGAGTCCCTTTCTTCCATTTCCTTCGACCAAAACCAGAACCAAAACCCCAGAGATAATAAAACATAGTCAGAACCCCAAACCCGAAAAGATCGAATCACCAAATAAATCGAAATCGCCAAAAGAACCCCCAAATACGACATGCAAGAAAAAACCCGTCTTACCCTCACTGCCGCGTCCATCGCCGGTAAGTCTCTGACCGGCGGGGATCCTCGTTTTCCCTTCCCTTGACCGAAAGACAACCCTGAAATCAAAACTAAACAACAATCAATCCCAAAACAACAAAAACCTCAAAAACCAGACATGCAATCCAAAACCATCACTTACCCCTGATCGTCGTTGACGCCGTCGTTCCCGACGTCGCCGAAGATGGCACCGGCCGTCCTCGCTGATCAATCACCGTAAGTCGCCGTCCGGCCTCTGTTTCCCTTGCTCCTCCATCGCCCCTCTCTGCCGAGAGCTACTTCCCATTCCCGCCTCGATCAGGCCCAAAAAAAATCCGAATCAAAACACAAACAAAAACATGCATTAGAACTGAAACACTCGATCAAACCGCAATCCGACCCCATAACTCCCCTAAATCGACATGCAAAACCCAAAACCCTACCTCTGACCATCATTGTCGGCGTCAATCGCCCACAATGCCACTATCTCGGTCTATCTCCGATGATTACTTCACGTCGGCACCAGAAGAGATAAAAAAGAGGGAGAGAAGCAGATCGAGATGAGAGGTGAGGTGAGGAACAGGAGAGAACTGAGAAGAGAGGATAAGGTCGTTTGTGTTTTTTTCTGATATGGGTTTCTACTTTCGAGAGCGTAGTGAGAACGAGGGCGGCTGCCGGCTGGTGCTAAATGAGTTTGGGTTTCATTAGGCTAAAATTAGTTTACATGCCCGAGCCTCCTAAATGACTAAAATGCCCCCTCTAATTAGTCTATACTTACCCGTTGCCACTCGGTCCACAGAAAAACGAAAAAATCACCAAAATATTATTCCTAATCCTTTCCGGCTTTTGAATCGTTGACCCAAGGATCGACTAAATACACAACAAACACCACTTCAGACCATTTATGCTATCCCAATGTGCATATTAATCTCAATCAATTTTGGAGTAAATCAACTTAATGCTTAACTTACTTGTTAATTATTAGAATTCCGTAGCAATCCCAATTAACGACTTAATATTTAACCTACTAAAAAAGATTGACTCTATTTTTGAATATTTGTCTACATATATATATTTATTTTACGAAAAATCCCTAACACGAGAAGTCGTGTTCAATAGAACGTGACAATCGTATCACCAAATTCATCAAAATCATCAATAATTCAATAACTAAATCACCATATAAAAATTATCTTCTAAAAGAAAACTCAATATAAAACCTTAACACGATCAATAGAACGTTTAAGGTTTTTCATATTCAATCCTTCAACATAAACGAACTACGTGGACTTTGATCCCGATTACTCGGGTACGTAGGCAACCAATAGGTTCGAGTCCAACTAATTAAAAAACTCTTTCTTCGCTTTTGAGATTTTACATCAATAGATGTATGCTCAAATTGTAGTAACAAAATACTTAATTGAATGCAATAATATGTAAATAAGCTATGAATAATGAAACACTCAACCTTTAAAAAACTTATCGGTTTAAGTAGTTCCCATTTGGGGCGTTGTGGGGTGTGAATACACTTCTCCACACGTAACCGTACTCCCGAACCTAGAATGATCTAAAATTCGCAGACCAGAATTCTGGTTTTAACAAAAAATTCAAAACTGGAAATGGGTGTTCGATCCACCACAAATAAGACCGATGGCGACTCCGAGCGTGACGCGACGGATCCCCCGATCCGGAGGGGCGGTTGCGACAGTGGCGACTCCGCTGGGGAAATTGAGAGCCGAGCTAAATATACTGAATCGATAAGTTTTTCTTACCTTCTTTAATATGTGGGTGTGCGCATTTATAATATCGCGTATTCAAATTTTTGCATTCATGCATAAAAAACTCTATACCCGAGTTCTACCTTAAGAAACTGAAAGGAGTACCATGACTCTTACAATAGTAGGAGTCATGCGAAACTTTCTAACCAAGTTGAACTCAAATCCGAGGTTGATTTGGGGTATTCGGCTAGCTCGAAGGAGCTATAGACGGATACAACTTGGGAACCAATATTCTAGAACTCATTACCCAGCATATAGTCAGCCTAGAAGCCACTTTGAGCGATCCAGAAAAATTGCCAAGCCACCTTAAAGCATTATCGTTAAGCCCTTTGAATTTCTAGGTTGTCCCAATAGGATGACGTGTTTACGATTCATGTTATTTATGACATAATGACTTGTGTTTTATTTGTTATTAATGAATGACGTGGTTAGATGCTATGAAAATTTTTATCAATAATCATGACATTAGCTTTTTTTCATTAATTCATCATTCAATCATTCAAAATAAATCATGAAGGTAATGTTGCGAGCATTCATGCATCCACCAAAAATTTAGCTTGCATACGCACATTCATATCATTTAGCTTGAATATCATATATTCATCTCATCTAACAATTAGGAGTATCTTAACAATTATAAAATCACGATCATCTTTTAAAAAATTGATCATCCACAAGGAAAGTCAGACCTCACAATTCTCGATCAGATTCAAGGTTGTGCTTGTTATGGAGTCATTCCAGAAGAAACTTGATAACTTCAAAAGAGGGTGGAACCTTCTTGAAAAAGTGAAATAGCACGTTGGCATATTCATGAGTTTTGTCAGAAAGTTTGGAGAAAAATCGACATCAGCCAGACAATACCTCAACAATAAAGCACTGCCAAATCATGGAAGTCAGTAGGCACGCTATGAGGCAGGGTTTAATTCGAGGATAATGTGGACTCATAGTCAAATAAATCCCGAGATACTTTACCATATTAAACCAATGTATCAACCTTTGCTTCCATATTGAAAAATAAAAGGTCATTTGCATTGCCACCTATTTGGAACATTGTGTGATTGCTACCAATCTTGATTTAGATGTTTACATCAATGGTCCTTCTCCTTTCAAAATGATGAGCATCTTTTCCAAAAACTTTAAGATCACCTTGTTTTCACTAAAAATGGGAACCATAAAAATGTATTTCATGTGTTGAAGCCATGAGATGTTCATATTAAGCAACAATAAGCACTCCACTGGTGTCGAGTGATTATAAACACCCTACTGGTGTCCAAAATTTGAACCACCCACTAATGTTGAGAGTGTGCACACATTACTATAGTTGAGAGTATAAGCACCCCACTGGTGTCCACAAATTATGTGAGTTAAATAGTTGAAGGGTGCAACGGGGATACGACACTACGCTACTTGTAGAAGCTTGTCACACCATAACCGATCTTCTCCTTCAAAGCAAGACTCACAAGAAACCAAATGTCGATATCATAATAGCCAAGTTCTAACAAAGCCCTCGTGGCTTGAAGATTGGAGAGGTTGAACGATTCGATTGACAACCCACATCATCAATTGAGTAATGAATATCTTCTTCAAGAAGGAAAAGACCAATTCGCCTATCTAACAAGAAGTCAACAGATTTCCTAATTCTTTGAAGTTGGTGCACAAAAAAGAAGCCCTGAAATTGCATCATGTGTGGGGGTATGACAAGTAGGTCCCACGAAAAAAAGGGCAAAAACGGCCAAAATGGCAAGTAAAAGAATTAAAAAACAGGAAAAGCTCGCGGGACTTACACGTTAGATACCCCTATACGAGCACGTGAAGTCATAATAACTCAAACTCGTCACGAGTAAAAGTTACTGGCCACCTTTGCTAAAAGGATCAAAAGGTTGAGTTCGAGCTTACCATCGATATGGTCACAAGAGTACAATGTCTCAGAAAATATCCTGAGAAACCCTTAATGAGAAGGGTTTCCAATACAAGAATATTGACTTAAGCTCAAGTACAACCCATGATTATCTTCAACATCCAACACTTTCAAGTCAAACAAGAACCCCCGTGATAATAAGACGTGGCAATCATGACTGCCACACAAAGGTCTTCGGCATTCATCATCTCGAGACCCGATGAGAAGTTGAAGTCTGCATCATACCAATACCTCATTTATCCATCCTTTCAAGGGATAACAAGGACCACAACGAATTAGAATATTTCCATAATCTAATTTCTACTCAGATTATCTCAATTACTTCCCTAATCGAGCTTACCCCTCAAAACTAAAATTTCTAGACAAGGGGGCAACTTGAGTCATCCCTCATATATCGATCAACCAGCTTCATACTTTGGGGGCAAGTCAGAATCCCTCAACAGGAAACTTAGACGATGAGGAATGTGAGACTCATTTATCCATCATTCATTCGAGAAAATTCAGCTTTCCAAAACTCAAATGACTCTGACATACAAGGGTCACCTTCCAGAAAAGTTCCAGAACTCACGTGACGAGACAGCACAGAGATTACATGAAATCTCCATGATCAGCAACTTATACCTCCGACACATTTGTCCATCAACTTGGTGACAAGAATCTTGATAGTAGCCAAAGTGTCGTATACTCGAAGCACCCATAGGAATGAGTGTGAGCGAAATTGAGCGTGAGAATGAGAGTGAGGGCTTGTGGATATTCTCATGGCTTGACTTCTGAAAATAACGAATTTTTAAACATGGTGACAATAACCACACAAGAAATCTTTTTCTCATGTTGCACACACTTCCCTCAAGCAAGGCTTTGATTTCTAAAGTCAGGTTCTCATCATACTTTCTCAAATGAGAATTTCCAAACTTTGTCGCATTCATCTTAAGTCAAGATTGGTAAAAGTCACATTTTGTTCCGAAAAGAGGAAAACAAGTAACATATCTACGGGGGCAAGGTGAGAAGACCCAGAGTAGAAGCAGTTCAAATACCCATGAAGTGGTTCTCCAAGTCCATCAACTCACGAGTAAATGGGGAATCTCAGATATTCTGAATCATTCCGTTCAAGCTACCCAACCTATCAATCAAACTATCCTTCAACAAAATATTTTGTACATCATACCTCTCGGTGAAATCAATCAAGCATGTCTAGAAAACCGACATCAACAAGACAATACCCCGAGATAAAACAATCCTCTTAGCCAAGCACGACATGCTCACATGGCAAGAAGATCAATTAAACTAAATGAGCACACTATTGTGATACCACCATGCTACAAAAACCTCCTGCAACATCAACCTACCAAGAACATCTCATGAATAAGAAAATCACATGGCTAACACATCAGCCACTCAAACACTAGTGTCCAAGGTGGACAAAGTAGAGGATCAACCTTTCACCAACTCCCAGAAATGTCATGCCTTGTGCTCACTGAGTATATAAAAGAGGACAAACTAGATGGCAAGCCCAGTACCTCGAGATGATGACACGCACCAAAGAAAGGAAGTACCC